GCTAAGTGGGGCGATCTTTTAAAGAGGAGTGCAGCACTTTGGGTAAACAACAAAGTCGAGAAATGCATCAGTGATGGAAAGCAATGGATGGATGAAAGAATTACAAGGAACTATGGGGTGTTTGATCAGCTGCTGTTAAACACTGCACTCCTGGGGGTTTTGCAAGAAAATGGAAGCAAGTGTGATCAATACCTGAGTGCCTTCCTGGCATTTATCTATTTAATCCATTATCAAATACTATCTGAGCCTGCAGTGAGGACAGGAGGCCTGCAGCTCATGGGAGGAGCACAACGACACACGCTCACGTGCTAGCACGTGCATCAGTCGTGAGTTATGTGCATCATACGAGAACCAGATTAAAATATAATTCAAACATGGTAAATAAAAATCCACTTGTACTAAAATTTATATTAAAATGAATCACAATACATTTTTTACTTGAACTAAAATGTTCAGAGCCAACTGTGCGGGTTTTCGTTACCGATTGCTGGGAGCTACAGAAACTGGTCACGGACAACAAACGTCATGGAGAGCTCTTCTGCAAATAAATGTCACCAATCATGCAACGTTTGCTTGGCAACTGACCAGCAATAGATGAGTTTCAGCTTTAATGGTTGCAATAAGTGGCAAACCTAGAGCAGAGAAACAGACTTCACTTTTTCTTTTGAGAAAAAAAAAGGTTTATGAAACATACAACATTTAAACTGAAATAGATCTGATTTACGGATGTTTAAGATTGTTCCACTGTGGTCGGGCTGACATCTGCAGTGGAGTTATCGATGACACAACAGTGGAAACATTTAGAAAGTCACTCTTATCAGAAACTGTGGACCTGCAGAACTTGTAAGATAAACTGCGATGCCATGTCATCATGTTGTGACAGCGTACAAACATGTTCACTTTAGGGAGAGTTGTTCTTGCTAGTCTCAATCTTAGTTTAGAAGGTACATGTGTAGTCCTTAGTGAACTTTGTGATTAATTTTTAAGCAGTAGTACCCATGTTGAGAACCCCTGTGGGTGATTAAACTCCACAATTGGGGCTTGAGATTCTCTGCAGATATAAAGATTAAAAAATATCCTTGCTATAATTGATGCAAATGCTAAAAAGTAATAAGTACAATGTGAACTGAAGTTGTATTTTCATGATTATACCCATGTTTATTTAGCTTTTTAGCAATGAGTGTACACCAGCTCAGTGGCCTAGTGGTAGAGTGTCCGCCCTGAGACTGGGAGATCAGGGTTCGATTCCTGGTCGGGTCAGACCAAAGACTTTGAAAAAAATGGGACCCAATGCCTCCCTGCTTGACACTCAGCATTACGGGGTTGGATTGGGGGGTTAAACCACCAAATGGTTCCCGAGCGCGGCTGTGTCTGCAGCTCACCGCTCCCCCAGGGGATTGGTCAAATGCGGAGAACAAGTTTCTCACACACATCAGTGTGTGTGACAACTAATGGGACTTTAACTTTAAGTTAAACCAGTGATACCTCAATTCAATTCAATTCAAATTCAAAAATACTTTATTAATCCCAGAGGGAAATTGATTTGGGGTTGCAAGTCCTTGCCACTGTCTTTTTGAGGGTTTTATGCAAAAAAGCTTGTGGCTAATCATTTTGGAAGGTGCACTCAGTAGAGGTGCTGAAAAAAAAATCAATTCAAGTCTGAATCGGGATTCTTATTTAAAAAGATTCAGAATCGATTCACAAAGGTTCAGAATCGATTCCAGGAACTCAAATGTTTGGCATGTTACAGGTTTGAGATGCACTTTTGTATGTTTTTTTGGTCTTTGTTAGGAGAGTTAGTACTCCGATTACTTGTGTGGTCCCATAAATTGGGATGATTTATGTTTGAATCTGCTGATGAGTTGTAATTTTTTTTCCATACTCAGAAACTTGAGATATTCTCATATTTATTTTCTAAGTTGATTAGTGAGTACTCAGGATTACTCGTGTTTATTTGAAGTTATTGATAAATGAGAGAAAACATTTTCCTTTGTAAGAAATCTGAGGCACTTGTTTTTAAACAGGTTGAGGACTCAAATGTTAAACTTGTTTCCACAGATACTTAAAAAGTATTTGATTGTATTACTTTCAAAGCTACTGTTAGGTAACTAAAGATTTGTTATTTTTTCCAAGGTAAGCAAAAATAAATGTTGCCTTTTGGTCAAAAGATTGTTTCTGTTTACTGTTTTAGAATCCCTTTATTTTACTTTATAAATTAGCATTTTTTTAGCACAACCAGTTGAAAGTAAAATAAAAAAATTCCCATTGCTTTAACTAACTTGCACAACAAAGTAGTTAATCCTGGAGCTGACACTCTTTGTTAATAATGATTGTGAATCGATTTAAATTGAGAATCGAGAACCGATTCTGAATCGAATCGGCACCCCGAGAATCGGAATTGAATAAAATCGTGAGTTGCTCTGAGAATCACATCCCTAGCACTAATCCTCCATTCTTGCTTTAATTTTTGTTTTAAAAAAAACTTTACCAACAGAGACTGTTTTAGGAAGTTTAACATCCTGTCAGTGACTTGATGCAATTTGCTGGGTTCCTTATATAGGAAACATTATTTCTGATTGGCTTAATAAACTGTGAATTGGAATGTTTATTATGTGAAGTGCCTTGAGACGACTCTTGTCGTGATTTGGCGCTATATAAATAAACTTGAATTGAATTGAAACATGTGGCTGCACATCAGCATTCCCTCCCCTGCAACATTTAGGTTAATGATTACAATCCACTGCAACCCGTTAATTCAAAGGTAGCAGAAATGTCCCGACACTCAAGTCTTCAACAAGTTCAGAAGCACAAATGAGCTCTAAAATGTTCAGAGTAATTTAAGGTCTGTGCAAAATGAAAGCGTCCCTGACTGAGAAATCACCAGCAGTAGGAGTAACAGTACAACATCTAAATAGGGTAGGTCTGTGTTAGGGCTGCACAATATATCACTAATATATCATTGTCGCGATATCAGCATGCACAACATGCATATTGCAAAGAACAGATAAATACTGAGATGAATGGTCAGCTCAAATGTTTGCTACGCATAATGCATTCTGTCAAACGGAAGCATGATGTTTTTTTTAACAAATCAAATAGAGCGCTTCACTCATTTGGCCAATTGGGTGGGGTCTCATATGTTAGATGCCCGCCCCCGAGGCGGACGGCACTTAATTTTGATGGTTAGCAAACACCTGATTTAGCTTAGTTCTGCTCTTTCTGCTGATTCTGCTTTTCCCAGGATCCACTGATTACCTTTTCTTGTTCATTTTCTTTTCCTCACATCTTTTGCTTTTCTAATTTTTATGATTTTTTTGTCTTTTTTTTTTTGTTTTTGATTTTTTTGTTCCTGAGTTAAGTTTTTATTTACCGCAAGTAATATCGTCTTTGCAATATTAATCACTGTTAATGCATATCGCAGGTTTTCCTAATATCGTTCAGCCCGAGTCTGTGTGATTTACCGGGTTGTACCTGCAGGTGTTTATTTTCACTCTAAATGTTTCCATATCCTGCTGTACCGGCGAATATCTCAGAAAACAACCTGACTGTGTGCACAGTGAGAAGTTGTTTCAGCGGCGATCGATTTCACTGTTGGAAACAAACACCACAGCGTGTGAGTAGGAAAGTTTTGGTTGGAGCCATGTGGTGTAGAAGTTGTTTGGTTTTACAAGATCAAACATGGACCAAACTAATGCCATTGGGCAAAAGTGGTAGCCAGCGGTGGCAACATAAGTCACTAAGACACACCATGGTGGCAAATCGGAGTAATACTGCCACCACTGTTACTTTTGAAAGTGCCACGGCGGCAGGGCAAGGTGAGAATATTATGGCATTAGTGCTGCCAAGCTCGATAGCAAGATTACTTCAAATGCAGACTTCTGAATGAACATTGCACGTTTGCAGACCTTGTTCAACAGATGGTGATGTCATCACATGTGGAATGTCCACAACCAAACAGGGGCAGTCATTTTCACTTTGTAAGCAGAACCAGCTGAGAAGTCAAATTGGAGCGATGCAGAGTTTCTGACCAGGCTTCTAGAGCCCTGGAACCCCCCAAGGCCCTTTACAACACAGTAATTTACACACACATTCACACTCTGGTGGTGATGAGCTACACTGTAGCCACAGCTGCCCTGGCACCACACAGGCACCACCGGTCCCTCCGAACACCACCAGCAAGCAAGGTGGCTTATGTTTGCCCAAGGACACAACAACAGTGACAGACTGAGCGGGGCTCGAACCTGCAACCTTCCGATTATAATGCGAGAACTTCCCTGCGTCACCGTTGCCCTGGAAAAACACAGTCGTGCCACATTACCACCACTGGCGGACCTAAGGCACCCTGATGCAGGAAGACAGAAAGACTTGAAGCAAGGTAAAATGCTGAACCTTTAACTCCTAAAGTTTCCCACATTGAACCATAGGGACAGTTTCTCATCAGGAAATCTTACAAAACACAAAAGTGCAACTCAAACAATGAATAATGGCAGGTCTTGAGTGGAGTTCAGCCATCCCACACAGGGAAGGAACACTGCACTCGCCCAGCGTAGATGCTGCAGATGACCACAGAGAACAAAGACCTCATTTATGTAGAGCTCCAACAGGAGAGCTAAAAATGGGACCATGGGCAGAGAATAAAACCTTGAAGCAATGCAGGAATTCTGAGCATCCAAGCGCCATCAACGCACAACAAGCGTCACTCCTAAATCGCACTGCCTCCACCGATGACCTTTCCTCCAGACTCCGCGAGACAAGGCAGCGTTCAAGTGGCTGGAACAGAGCGCTCTTATGCTTACTTGCGCCCAAATTGGTCAGGAACACAACTGCAGCCACAGAGCTGTGCATGTGAATGTGGCAAAAAGGAAGTTCTGTACGGTCGCTTTATACTTCACCATATTTGTATGAGGCTGATTAACGAAGAGGAGTCAGTTTATTGCAGCAAACATGCTTCAGTTCCAACATGCTGATTAGGACGAATCAAAGATACAACAATAGCATACCTAGCTTCTCCACAAGTTTGAGCATAACTCCACCAATGTGGATTTCCCCGGTGACTCTCAGAAACACGTCCCTATTGAGGTCGGTGACGTGCATCTTCAGCTCCCATGTCCCATCAGCATAGCAGCCATCAGGCATCCGGATTCCATCCAGTGCCATCCTGCAAAAAGGGAAGAAAGGATATGGTCAGCCTTTGACAACGCTGACCCTTTCCATGAGTCTGAATGGAGGAGAAAGATTTTAGGAAATGTTTAAAATGTGTTTTCTACGTTATTACATTTACTTTAGGCTATACAATCACTGGCCACTTTATTGAGTGCACCTGCCCAACTGCTCATTAACACATATTACTAATGAGCCAATCACATGGTGGAAACGCAATACATTTAGGCATGTTGACATGGTCAAGAAGACATCTGCTGCAGTTAAAACCGAGCTTCAGAATGGAAGAAAGGTGATTTTAATGGTGGTCGTTGGTGCCAGACAGGCTGGTCTAAGTATTTTAGAAACTGCTGATCTTCTGGGATTGTCACAACCATCTCTAGGGTTTACGAAGAATGGTCTGAAAAAGGGTGAAGGTGACTTGATGTTCAGAACTTCAGAGTATAAAAATGTAGGAGAAATTGGATTTAGTTGACTTTGAACATGGCTATGTTGTTGGTTACCAGATGGGTGGGTCTAAGGAATTCAGAAGCTGCTGATCCCAACTCTGTTTACAGAGAATAGTCGAGTGAGCAGCAGTGTGGATGAACTTTTCTGTTGACATCAGAGGAGAATAGGCAGACTGGTTCTGGATGGTAGAAAAAGGACCGTTGCTCAAATAACCACAGGTTCTGACCAAGGTCTACAGAACAGCGTCTCTGAACCACAACACGCTGAATCTTGAAACTGATGGGATTTCAGCAGCAGAAGACCACATCATGCGTCATTTCTGTCAGCCAAGAACAGGAAACCGAAGCTACAATTCACAGGATCACCAGAACTAGATCACAAGAGACGGGAAAACCTTTTCAGATCTGATGAGTCAGGATTTCAGCTGCAACGTTTAGATGGTTGGATCAGAATTTTGCATCAACAACATGAATCATGGATCCATTCTGCCTTGTTATCATCAGTGGCTCAGGCTGCTGGTAGCGTAAAGGCATGGTGGACACTTTGTTTTAACACTTTAAGAGTCTCTGGTTGCTCAGTATGCTCACCATGTCCATCTTTTGAGGATCATAGTGGGTCCATTTTCTGATAACTACTTCCAAAAGGGCGACGCACCAATGTTACAAAGCTCAGGTCATTAAAATGGATAGACTCCAAACGCCTCCACAGTCACCAGATCTCAATCTAATCCAGACCTTTAGGGTGTGCATCTGACAAATCTGCAGATTTATGGAGATATGGACTAAATTCCCTGTTGAATTTATGACATGAAGAAATAAGACAAAATATTAATAAGGTGCATCTGATTTATAGATCAGTGGGGTATTGATTAGATCACTGATTGAAAAGCTGTTGAAAACAGCATGAAGATTTCCTTTAGTGGAACAAAAGAGAAACTTACAAAGAAAATATCACAAATTCTTGTTTTTATTATTATTTTTACTATTATGTGATCCCATTTACACACTGTCCCTTTAAATGTGAATGATGTAATTGGTAAACGTAAATCTGATTTATGACTAAGCGGTTTTATTCAGGAACTACTTTTGATAAAACACACAGATCTGGTGTGGCCCACTTCCTCCAACACCCAGCTGAGGTGACAAAGCTAATTTAAGCAAAGTTTACTGTAAAGAATAACATTAAAAAAAAGGAGGCGTCCCTTGTTCTTCTTCGTGGACATAAAACGCGCCAAGTCGCCGCCGGTGAAAAGTTACAGTGTAGCCGAATCTGTCACCGTCTCATCCCAGCCTCCACGGTGGAGTGGCCTGGCTTTAAAAGCAGCCGTGGAGTCAATAAACACGGCGGAACAAAGGCAGCCAGCCCACGAGTTCAGCACGGACCTTTAGCAGCTGTTATCTCTGCTTCACCTGTTAAAAATAACGGTGAAGGCACTCTTACAAATAGGCTGGAGGACTAATTATGTAAGCACAGCCCTTCCAACAAGTCTCCCCGGCTGCGTGCAGCGGTTTGCCAGCCTGAGTTTACTAGAAAGAGTCGAGAAACAAAAGAAGAATTCGTGGAAAGCTCGCGAGGATTGAAACTTTGAGTTAAATGGAACAAAAGCAGTCGGAAAATGAAAAAACAGGAGTGATATTTCAAAGCGGCGAGTGGGGAAAAAAGCTTTGAGGACGGGTACTCACCTTCACAAAGACGGATAAAACACACCAAAGCAGCCAATAACACGGTGGAGAACCACTCTTCCTTCTTCAGTTCATCTAGAGAGTCATGAATATGGGAAAAAATAGGAATAAATCCCGAAGAACTCGCCGGAGAAGTGGAGTATCCCAAACAGTTTTCCAGCAGGCTTCGGATTAATGGAGTCCAGCCCTCCCTCCAGTGGATAACGTCACTGCTTCCAGTCCCACTTTTCCTTTCTTACTGGGAGTTTCTGCTCGCCCACTGGCGGCTTACTGGTCCCTTCTCACCTCCAACACACTCCAGCTGCTTTCACAACAGACCATTGGTCCTTTTAGCAGCTTTTCCCTTTTTATGTCATGTATCATAAATAGCTATAATAACAATGAAGTTTTTTTTATCATTCTTGCAATAGAATATGCAGTAAATGTAAAGATGGACCTCGTTTCAACAAGCCAATAATAGTAGAAATAGTGTCGCAAAAAGTAATAATATTGCCAAAAAATATTTCGATTTACACAGGGGTGCCAACAAGAGGGAAGGCGGCACGGGTCCCCCACTATGGTAGCCCCCTCCCAACACAGACCCCCATTGGCCAAACAGTTTTTAAATTTATTATATTTTCATTGATATGGTAGTTAAAAAAAAGAGAAGACAAATCTCAATGAGTCAGCATTGATTTATTTATGCGCATATCATCTTTTGTCTTTCATGGTGGAAAAAAAAACGCCTGTGAAAAAACATTTATAAATCTAAAAATGAAAGAGAAGTAATGATTAAAAAATTAAAGGTTAGGCTTCTTTTACGAAAAAATTCCTCAAAATTATACCAAAACACAACGGCATGTTTAGTTTGCATTACCTTCATTTGGCACAGTTTCTAAATAAAAAAGAAATTTTAACATTTTTACTCGATGAAAAATTTAGGTTTAGTCCTAACAGCAGGAATCACAACATTAAAATTATCTGATGTTTATATAAAAGGAGATTTTCATGTTTTTAAACATAAATCTCAACAAATTGTAGCCCTAAAGCAGAAGATTCAACAGCTAGTAGCAGTAGGGAGAAAAGACCTCAAGCTGCCTTTTATGGCAATAATAGTGCTTCTGAGCCTCACACCAGCACCCAGGGACTTGTGATTCCCTCACTGTGAAACACTGCTAATGACTGAACAGAGTTGCTCTTTAAAAGTTATTAAAAAAAAACTCCCCAAAACTTTGTGAAGTGAAAAAAATATGTACATTTTATCATTATTTTCCCCTTTGGAAAAAGCAAAACTATTGGTTTAACACAGGGCATTAAATAAAAAAAAACACATAGTTTTTTTTTTTACCGCTAACTCTTTTACTGATGCTTGATGCTTTAAAGGAAAACATCAGGTATGCACAAAAGCAGAAAAATTCGTTGATAATATTTGCCTGGTTCCAAAAGAATACTTTACATAATTGCCCAATTTACCATTAAAGTCACATGTTTTGCCCAAGTCTTTTATGCATTTATCTTTGATTTTAGCTCATTCTGACTTTTCAAATACAAGGATTATTCTTGCATTTTTTAAAGGAGACTTTTCCAATAACAAACTGTAAACCTCGTATTCTGGCATTGCAGCTTACAAATGATCTCATTTCAACATACTTTATATTTTCTTTTGATGTGCACAAAAATTCAGTCTGGAAACACGCCAAAAGATCTGAATTTGTGGGGATCACAAGAAAGTGAAGATAAGCTATCTGCAAGCTACTTCTTTCTCATCACTGCAGCAGATGAAAGATGGAGCTTTTTTTTTGCAACAATAAAGTGTTCAAATTGTACATCTGGGAGAAGAAAATGAAGAAAAATGCAGCGGTCTTCTGTCTTGCCCCAAAGCAACAGCACAATACACACTCCACAACACGCTCTCCAAGTGATCAGCACTAACGTCCCATGAATCATCAGTTTCTGGCTCAGTCTCCTAGTGAACTCGCTGAGCTCCAATCCTCCAGCTAAAGGAATCTGGGCCTTCAGACCACGGTCTGCATCAAAGCGATTTATAACCCCCTCCCTGCTGCTCAGACCCCCATGTCAGTATCTGGTGGTCTACCCATTGCCTTTTATAGGCTGTGTTTTAATTGCAGAGTAAACATTTGAGTCAGATGCAAAACAGGAGAGGGAGTTGGTCATCTTGGAGACCGGGGATGTGGCTCTGTGAATTTTGCATCTGGATTTCAGACTGTGATTTTATGGCAAAGATGAAATACATCAATCAAATTCATTTATTTGAACAATATTTAATGTTAGAATCAGAATAAGGCAGTGTGTCTACAGATGGTCATTTTTCTTTGTTTCCAATGCTTGACTGGCCCCTTCTGGCCACAATGAGAACAGCATCGCCCTGTTCATCAGACATGATTCAGCTTTTCCAGCCCGCCTCATCTGTAAACTCTGTTGCGGCAGAAGTGGCTACATTGCATTAAAAGTCTAGAAGCTCACGTGGAAGCCATCACTGGCGAAGGACTACAGTGTGGCCTATTCATGATGATACCTTCAGCCTGTTACTGACTTTAGGGGGCGAACTGGAAAGAATCTGATCTGAGATGAACAAATGGCATCATTGTCCTCCAAACTGTCTGGAAATGAAGCAATGAGGCCATCTTCCTTTGGGGATTCAAACCTCCCGCTACACGGCAGACAAACTAATATTCAATATGTCGCACAAAACATGACAGGTTTAGAAATAATGGTGTATTCCAAAAGAAAATGCTTTAATAAAAGGAAATAAATACAGTGCTCTGGATGGCAGTTAGAAGCCATTACAGGCATGGGTTATTGCACAGCTCTAAGGACTAACAAACATCATTTCATTTTAGACGTTTCATTTAATGCACATCTTTTTTTTTTAAATAAACCACTTGTCTGGCTACAGATGGATTCAGACCAAATGTAACCTTATTACTTTGTGAATATTTTACAAAGTGACAAAACATCCGAGCTCAGCTGTAGTCAACAATGGCTTAAATCTGGTGTAAAACAAAGAGCTTCAAATCTACAAACACGTAACAGAAGACGATTCCCTGATGTTTATGGCGCCTTTAATAAGAAAAATATACCGTCACTGGTCCAAAAAAAGCTGTACATTAAACGATCATTTAGTCAAAGTTACAACAGCTCCACAAAACTCTCGAGAATGCTTTCCAGTTGCCTAAGCAAGCAGAGCAAACATTCAGAAATCTGTGCTTGAATCCAAAAACTGCCAGGATGAAAAATGTGCTAACGTTAACAGACGTTTATGAAACATGAGCAGACCACGATGATGGGAACAATGCTTCGTCCTAGTGCTGCACCTCTTCCCAAACTGCGTGATGAAGAGGCAACTGTGGGTTGTTACTTTTTTTTTAAATAAAATGACTTTCTGCCTCTTGTTGCTGCAAATGTAAACGCATGCGCAGCAAAATAATGCATATAAACCAATTTCCCAAAATAGTTTCTGTGCAATTCTTAGCCTTGCTTGTCCCAGCTTCGGTTCCACCTCCTGGTTACAGAACTGAAGGCAGCCTGGTTTCTGTAAATTGTCCTTTGCAAACAATAGACAGTAAACATCTACAGATTCCAGTCTGGTGGACCTGATGGTGGAAAAACACGAGCTGCAGCACACACCGCAACAGACTGCATTAAGCTCTTCAGTAGCTAACCCATCATTAACTGGATAAATTTAATTTGACACTGGTTTTAATCAGATCTGCTGCATGTAACTCATAATGAGGACACCCATATTCATGTTTTCATTCTTTGCAAAGTTTTTTTTAAAGAGTGGTTTGTAGTAATGATGTCTAGAGGTGTTGGCACATTGCACTACCTTTACTGTTCCAACATTAACCCATGCAAAGTGTGTAACAATCCTATTTTCAGCTAAATCTTTACTGGGACTAATAAAAGCTGCTATTTTTGTTCTTTATACATTAATATATATATTAATTTGCTCTGAGACGCTGGAGAAATTTTAAAGAAAATAATCTCCACATTGTCTTATTTCTATCTTTTTTGGAACGAATGAGTCGTATCTCTTGAGCGATCGTGTTACTCTGATGATCTAGATGACAGCAGGATGGAAAACCCATCTTTCACACTCGGAAAACGATTCCATCAAAGGGGGGAAAGTGCAAAGCTGTCACAATAAAAGGTAAAGAATATACAGTTAATTATGGTGTGCAATGCTTTACCAACCCATAAAAATAAGATATCAACTTTTATCACTATCAGTCAATTAAATATATCTGGGACTATTCATAAGCAGCAGCATCACTAAAGCACCTCACAAACTAGACAAATAAACATTATTTGGCCACAAGTTTGAATCCCACAACGAGACTCGGGTTTGTATCCAAGTCTGAAAATTGCTATGAAAATATTTTTTTAAGTAAAAATACATATTGAAGCATTATTTTCATCTAGACCTCAGTAAAAAGGTACAAGAACAAAAAGAAACATTGGTTTCAGCTGGATGAGTGATTGGTTGATTTAAGTGAAACCTTTTGACTGACTTGATTGAATAAGTTATACAAAACAACAACAATAATCCGGCCCTCATTTAAGTGCACTGATCTGTTTGTTTCTATGTAATCCACAGCAGGATTATCCTGCCGTACGTTGGTGTGAATTCGACCGAGGGCTTCGCTGTAACTGGCATATGACACTTGTCCAAAATGGTCTTAACTTAAGAAAAAAACCAATGCCAAGTATTTGATGATAAAGAATGAGAAATGCCTACATCTGGTGCCATTTGGTTTTGATCCGCCTGGAAACAAATCTAAGGGAGAAACTAAAATGAAGTATTCTCTCATATTGCCATTCCATCATTAAAGGGATTCTGCCCTTTAGGGGATTGTGTGTGCGTGTGTGTGTGTGTGTGTGTGTGCGTGTGTGTGTGTGTGTGAGAGAGAGAGAGAAAAAACATTGAGAAAAACATGATTGGTTACAAATTTTAGCTGATTTCAAGCAGCATTGCATTTTTATGCTAGCATTTGTTTTTCACTTAAATGAGAAAAGGTGGAGCTTGAAACCTCTACAGCTGATTGAGGCAAACATTTCTCAGGGCCCCGTGCGTGCGTGCATGAGAGCAGCTGGATTTAAGCTAACCTCGATTAACAGCAGACATGATGAACAGGTTGAAGGTGTTGCTTCCACGTTGATGCTTAGTACGTGGTCATACTGGCCCTCGGGGTGGATGGATGTGCACAAATGAGGAGACGAAAAAGGACAACTTGCAAAGGAGTTTACATTTTTCTTTTAAAGTAACAATTCTCAAAACGTTCAAATAGCTGGTTCATCAAGAACTAAAAGAGAAGTCGTTGTTGGAGTGTTTGAGAAGTTCTTTAAACACAGCTATCTTTGAGTCTTGTCCGGAACAGACCTCCAGCGCTACAGGACACATCTCAGGAGTGTGTTGTAACACGTGTGCTGCCTCAGTCTGGCTCTTGAGTGTCGTCTGCTGGGGCGGAAGGGGTCGACTTCTGCTTATAAATAAAGGTCAACAAGAAAAGCGCTATGTCGTGTGAGCACCAGTAGCTTGTGTGGGAAGTCACTGCTGACCAGTAGCGGCTCTCCACCAGACCTTCCCGGAGCTCAAAGTCGATGCGCCTCTCCAGCTCCACTGCAAAAGGACAACACACATGATCTGATAACATTTAAGACTGGGTTTTAAATCTTTGGTTACTTGCTGCTGAATAAACTTACACGACTCTATGGTGGGAGAAGTGGGTCGAGTCATGGTGGAGAGGCCATAGGATGATTGGCTTTCTGAGCGCTTTTCCTCCTCTTCCTCAGCATTCACCACTCCCTCAAGTCCCAAAGACACTGATGGCTGGCTGTTTGATCGGGAAAAGCGTGAAAAGAGGATGCCTCCAATCCCCTTTCCTATACTCGCTGCTCCTGTGGGCCAATATTATAAAAAAGAACACAAAAGTTTTAATTTTGTTAACAAGACCTCCATCTGCCACATGATGGCAGCACCGGCTCAGTATTGTAGCATGAAAATGGCGCACTGACCAAATGACAACAAAGTCATCACAAGTTTACCAAGTATGCTGGCCTTGCCCAGACTGGTGATGGACTCCCCGTAGTGTTTGCGAGGGAGGACTGGAGACGTACTGGGACTGGGGATGCTCTCAGTGTCCGAAGCTGGATCTTTGACTGGGTTGAGGAATGTGGGCCTGATTTCATCATAGTGTGTGGGGTTGGTGGCACTGCACCTGATAAATGAAACATGTTCAGTACATACTGAAATAATACCCTTCTAATGAAGGCTGTGCTCAGACTAAAGAGCTCACCAGTGTATCTGGACCGGTGCAACGTTGCTATAATGTTTGAGAATTAGGGGCTCCAGCCTGTAAGCCTAAACACAGCAGAGGAAGTGCAGAACAGAGAGTTTACATTTCAGTTTGTGACAGATGGAATAGATTAGGATAAACTGACCACAGGGTCCGTGGGATGGAAGACATTGAAGAGCCGGTTGCAGATGGAAGTGGGCAAGATGTGGTCCTGATGGCAGCTGGTACCCGGCCGAATCCCTCTCAGAGCCAAGAAAACGGCTAGAGGGGAACCCATGCAGAAGAAGTTTTCCACCTGTAGGACAAAGACGATAATCATGGTCAATCCTACATATGTGTTGCCTTTTATTTTCCTATTTGAGTTTTACTGTAGTGGTTCACATAAAATACATCAAGTATACCTTGAATTTGAGAGCTGGGGGTGCTGAGGGCTTAGAGGCTTCCAGTTTAACGAGTTGATTTTCCAGCTCCCGTAACCTGCCACAAACAAAAACACTCAACAAGAAGAAACAAAAAACCTTCAGATACTCAACTACACATAGTCTCCAAGAGACACCTGTTTCTTGTGAGCTTCAGCTGGTCTACAAGTTGTCTTTCCTCGTAAGACGTCCAGTGTAAATCCTGCTCCTCCTCCACCGCGCAAAGCTCCTGCAGACAGAAGCGTACGGGATCCCATCCCGTCATGATGTCATAGGTGATGACACAGCCGAGGGAGTGGGACACGATGGACACTTCGCCACCCCTTTCCTCAAACTCGGGGTTCCGTGAGCAGAAGAGTGAGTAGAGTCTGTTTAGCTCCTCTGTAAGGCCCTTGGTTATCTGGCAAAAGAAGTAGAACAGCTTTAAAGAGAACTAGAAGCTATAAGAACGGTCTTAAAGCTGTAGAAAGTTATAAAATCTCACTTCATCTCGATAAAGCGGGCTGTTGTAGTACATGATGTCCATGGCACTGCTGTTGAGAAGGTCTCTCAGTCCTCTCACTTTGTCTGGCGTGATTGTTTCGACGGTATCTAAGGAAACGGACCAGCATCAACAGAATAGACTTTGGTGCAAGCTTCTGTTTATATAAGCAGCATGAGCAGCGATAACACCATGCATGTTCTGCAAACATTTGTAACTCCAACAAACCTCCATCCAATGTGAGTTTAGAGCGCCACTCCACTGGTAGGAATTCCACATGTTCATCGTTGTGCTCTGAAAAGTGCCTCTCCTCCATCTTCCTGACCCCCTCCCTCAGCCTAAACAAACAGAGGACAGGACAGTAGAAGCTGTATAAACAGAGCGTGTATTAGGGCATTGTTTAAGCTTCATACAAGGGAGGAAGTGGTAAATATTGGCATACTGACTAGAGTCCGTTTGCACACTTTCACTCTTAAACATAAACGACTACTGAGACGTGAAGAGTGACATCACTTCCCACGCTCATTAGCTGCTCATGCAGAACGCACGCAACAACTGACCAACGCTGCTGCCTGCTATAAACGGTTCAGCTTGAGCAGATCAGCTTGACTAGACACACACAGGTTAGGATGATGAGGTGGTTGTTCACTTACAGAAATGCACACTGAGATTCTCGGAGTGTTGAGTGATTCGGGTTGTGTGTTGCACCAACATCATCCAATGTTGATGTAAACACATTACAGACATCCCTTCCTGATTGAGCTCAAAGACATGATGATATTTCTGAGTTAATCAAAGTTAAAACTACTTCTATTTCTTCACTACGTAGTAACACCAGAAGATCTGAGACGGGCTTAATGAACTCTGCAGCCTGACTTGGTTTACTTCACCTGCCTACTCAGCCTGAGCTGGGTCAGTGATCTGTGTGTTACAGAGACACCTCCTGCATGATGAGCTGCTACTTACTGCACAGCAATCCATCAGAAAATATATAAAATACCTAGTTGTTGTAATTTCCTCATTTGACGCTTGGAAACTTTCATGGTTTTATTCCTTTGTTGACCCAACAGAAACATAAAATATAATTATTATAAGCTGTCAAGTAGGGATGTGAATCTTAGAGCAACTCACAATTTGATTCGATTCCGATTCTTGGGGTGCCGATTCGATTCAGAATCGATTCTCGATTCTCAATTTAAATCGATTTACAATCAGGATTAACAAAGAGTGTCGGCTCAGGATTAACTACTTTGTTGTACAAGTTAGTTAAAGCTATGGGACATTTTTATTCGACTTTAAACTGGTCATGCTCCAAAAATGCAAATTTACAATGTAAAATAAAGTGATTCTAAAACTGTAAACAGAAACAATCTTTTGACCAAAAGGCAACATTTATTTATGCTTACCTTGTAAAATATAACACATCTGTAGTTACCTAACAGTAGCTTTGAAAGTAATACGGTCAAATACTTTTCAAATATGTGCAGAAACAAGTTACATGAGTAATCCTGAGTACTCATTTATCAACTTAGAAAATAAATATGAGAATATCTCAAATCTCTGAGTATGGAAAGAATTACATTCAAGTGCCCTCTTATCAGCAGATTCAAACATAAATCATCTCAATTTATGGGACCACAAAAGTAAACGGAGTACCGACTCTCCTAACAAAGATCCAAAAAGTGCATCTCAAACCTGTAACATGCCAAATATTTCAGTTCTTGGAATCGATTCAGAATCTTTATAAATAAGAATCCCAATTCAAACTTGAATCGATTTTTTTCAGCACCTCTACTGTCAAAGTAGTTAAATATGCCTATTATTATTTTGTCTATATTACTGGACCTGTGTCTTTCTTTATAAGCCATATATTAATATTAACAATAAACACACACATGCAATTGATTAAAATGCTTTATGGAATGACAGCCTGCTCAACAGTTTGATGACTGAAACCACTCCCAATGTAAACACAAGTTGACCATTAAGATTTGTGTTTGTGACTCTAAAGTGGAAAGGCAGAAGTTTTGTGGAAGAACACATTGGGTGTGGGAAACTGAATGTCAAGAAAAAAAATAACTAAATAAAAAAAACCTTGGATCTATATTTAAAAAAAATGACTAAAATTAAAAAGGAAGCTCTTATGCAACAGGAACTAGCTCAGTTTTAGAATCTACTGAATTAAAAACGGAAAAAGCAAACAAAGCCTTTTAAATTTGTTCTAAATCAAGTGACTTTGTCACAAACTCACATTGCTGTGTTTTTAATGATGCGTCCCTGGTCCATCTTCTGCCCAATCCCGTGTACCACAAAGACAACATGTGTCGTGTGAGGCGGTCGGTCTTCTGGTGAGGCCTCCTCCACGTACCCCCGATGGAGCCGCGTGCCGCTGCTCGAAGCTGCAACAGGTGCAAGGACTTACTCATTTTGTAGTAGTGGCCATAAAAATAGGTCATTCTAATTAGGCATCTGTGTGTAACACAGCCTTTTTTACTGGGAGACTAATAATAGCAGAGTAACTTTGTTTAAATAACGTGCTGTGCTGAGTCCAATCAGGTCAGTAGGTGACACAGAGTCCTCCTGTGACCAGACCGTGGCTGTACTTGTGACTGTGGCCCTGCAGGGTGAGTGTCTTTATTTTAAACCTATAATCTAATCAAGTCACGTGTTAAACAGAAAGGGGACAGGAAAACACTGAATAGACCCACTTTTCAGAGCTTTTGGACGTAATGAGAAATGAAAGGAACTTTATTACTTCCTCTTATGATCTGCAAATCAGATAAAGAGCTACCATGGAGCTACCATAAAAATACAGGCATGACTCACTGTAGTCAAAATACTCAAATGACAAACCTGGTGTCATCTTCTCAAAAACATAAGGGGGACGTGGTCAAAACTAATCTCTGGAAATGGCAGAAGGATGATGTCATTCTGAGAACTAATCTGATTAAAGGTTTTAACTCTACCCCAACATGTTGATAAAAACTGCAAATGGTCGATTATGTAACATGATCAAACTCAGTAAACGTAGTCGTAAAGAACTCGTTCAGCTTCAGGAGGTGGACGTGTGGGTAAAGATGTGGATATTTAAATGTTTCAATGATTTGAAATGAACATAAACAAACAAGCTCAGATATACTGAGGTCTACTCTCATCTTGAAGACAGGGGTTTTGCTGTTCCTACTGGTGATCATAAATCAAATCACCATGACATGTGGGGTACCACAAGGTTTGACTCTTGGACCACTGATATCCAATCTCTTCATGCTCCACCTGGGTCAAGTCACATACAATAACATTACCCATCATAGGTATACAGATGACACCTAGATCTACCTAGCTCTATCACCTAGTGACTGTGGTCCCCCAGACTCACTCTGTCAGTGTTTGGAGCAAGTTTATAACTGGATGCAATCAAACTTCGGTTAAAAAAAGACAAAACTGAAGTTACTGTATCTGGAAATAAGAAGGATGGAGGTTATTGCTCAGTTTGGCTCCAGAGGATTAAAGACAAAGATCCCAGTTAGAAATATTGATGTCATAACTGATTCAGAGCGGAGCTTCACTGGTTACAGTGAGGCTAGGGCTGGGCAATAAATCCAAAATTTATCATTATCGAAATTTCTGACATTTATCAAGATAATTTTTCCCATGTCAATAAATTGGATAATAAAAAAATGAAAAGATGTGTGTAGGCTGGCAACATTTGTGTCCCTTTAAGAAGCTGAACCACCTAGTCACGTAAAAATGTGACTCAACGTAATACATGTGACAGCCCCATCTAGTGGACAACGTTTCTTTCTGCAAATACCTGTAGTCATCATCCATTTATCGTTATCAAGGTGAAATCATCAACACATCGATACTGATTTTAGACCATATCGCCCAGCCCTAATATACACCCAGCAGGGCTCTGAGATCCTTAAAGCTTGGTTTATGCTTGATGCATTTACTTTCTGCTTGGTGATGCGGCTCGCGCATGGAACGCGCTTCACAACTGAAGCAGTCAGCTGGTAGAACTCCGGGTCAGAACCAAACAGGGTGAAGCTGCTTTAGTTACTATGCTGCTCACAGATGGAATCTGTTTCCTCAGGATTTCAAATGTGACACAACTATACTACATTATAAATCAATATTGAATATTTTCATGTATTCATCAGCCTTTGAATGATTGTTTCTTATTCTGAACTTTCTGCACTGCAACTGCTCAGCCTTTATTTTGTATTTTTATTTTATTGCTTACTTTCTTAAGTATGAAATGTGCTACATTAATAAAACTGCCTTGCCTTGACTTCAGAGTCTGGGAAAGATATAAGTCAAAGTGATTACAGACCTTTGGAAAAGCCCAGTTTCTGGGTAACAGTGCGTGCTATTTTAGAAGTGGTGGCATCGCTGTAAAGGTAGACCTCCTCCACACTGTGCCAATCCACATGTGTTCGACTCAGCTTGTGACTGTGGATGGCTTGGGGGGGAAAGAGAAAAGAGAGATTAAATTAATTAAAGGGGGGAAGAAAAGCATCGGCACAGGGTATTGGGAATCTGGCAAAAAGATGATAACAAAAACACAGAGATTGATGTTTCTATTTTTAAACATCATTCAAAATGAGAAAATTAAGTAATAAGACCAAGATAAGATTTGAAAGTAGTACAAAAACAAAAGGTCTACAATCATCTCTTCAAACAGCTCAATCAACTGCAGGCTGAAGCATTGATCTGCATTAAGAAAAACACGTCACAGATTGCATATTTCAGCTCTTGCTTGTCATCCTGCTCACGTGCCATCCAATCGATACTCTCACAAGCCGTTAAACAAAATTAGCTCAATGTTCACTTCTCTTTTTCCATGTAGTTCTGTGTACGCAGAGATTAAGGCAAGTAAGAGCAGAGGTATGACTGTAGAGGAACCAAGAGCAATAAATGGAGGTGATTGACCCAAGAGAGTTCCAGCTCGGCTGTAGACCCTGTGAACGTCCTGCTCATTAGAGTTAATTTGGATGAATGTTCCAGGATAGTCTCGACTCTTTGTACTTCTCTGAACCAAACAGTGAAGTAAAACTTTTAAGAGGATAAAGTTCTTGGAAAAATGTGTTCCAGATTAGGTTTCAGTAACTGACAACATCAAACAAAAGAAAACCCTGAACTAGTGCAAGAATAAAAGACGTGAAATAGCTAGCGATCCTGAGATTCTGCTGAGAATTTAAACTGTATTATCTACGCGTGTCATCAAACTAAAAAATATATATAATTTTTGCCAAGAAATGTCACATTTTTAAAGCTGTATTTCCTCTCACGCAATCTTCTATCATTTAATTTTTAATACATATTTAGCTCTTGCCAGGTTTACAGTGCAAGTTAGATACATGTGAAGAATGTCTTATTATCATGTCTAATGAGCTTTGAAAGAAAAGCGTCTGGACTTCTTTGAGTTGCTTGAAGACGTTTCACCTCTCATCTGAGGTGGGCCAGGCTTCACAATGAGCTCATCCGAAACTCTGGCTGAATAGGACCCACACCCACCCTCACACCTTGGCTCATGTGTTTATGTAGAAGATCATCAGGGGGTCTTTTGTTCCCTCTTCGGGGGGAAACTCCCACTGGGTTTAAATCTGGGACTCTCCACCTTTTGACCTTAGAACTGAAGAAGCCTCTCGGATGAGAGGTGAAACGTCTTCAAGCAACTCAAAGAAGTTCAGACGCTTTTCTTTCAAAGCTCATTAGACTACAATGACCTGGATGACTGAGAACCTTCACAGACATAATGTCTTATTATGATATTAAATACTAAACCAACCAGCATTATCCTAAAAATAAGCCTAGTTTATTCTGGGTGCAATCTGTGTGAGAGATAAAGAAATCAAACACCACGCACCTACTCGAGGTCATTTTGATAAACAGGTTCTCGTGTCACACGTTTCCATTTCTCTTTGCAAATCATCAAATAAAATCACTCAACAGCAAAGAAAACATAGGACATACTGTTGTATAATAAGGAAGTTGTTACGCTATAATTTTATCTCTAGAGGACTCTATGGTAAAGGAGGATGAAATAGGCAAGCTTGAGCAGCTATTTATTGCTTGGCTGACCACCTTCTGTTTTGATTAGAGCATTATGATTATTTTATGCCATGTAACACTGATTTTCCTCCAGGATTACGATAATGTTTCACCAAAACCATGATACTGATCAGGTGAGCTCTTAACTGCTGTTCATGACCCACACTGGGGTTAAGATTTGTGGTAGCCAATCCATGTTTGAGAATTAAGCATTAAGCTGAACCACTCTTATTTTGAGCTCGACAAATTCAAAGATCGTCATGCTAAATTACAGCCGTAGTATTAGGTAAGATCAAAGATCTATAGATGGAAACACCTGGTGATTTTTTAAGTGTACAGTGCTGCCCGTAATTATTCATACGCCAGGCAAATTTTGACTTAGTTACTTTTATTCAACCATTAAATTAATTGTTGACGGAAAACAGCATAGGTGTCTCCCAAAAGATAATATGACGATGTACAAGTGGCATTACTGTGCCTCAAAACATGTTCAGCTTTTATTTACATTTGAGCAAAAGGTGTCATGTCCAAGATTATTCATACCCTTCAAAAACTTTCAGTCTCTGGGAAAATCCAAAGTACTAAACCATCCCAAATAGTCCAAGCTGTTCTAAAGCACCTTAATTACCCAGATTAATTGGGAACAGCTGCTTTAATCACTGCAACAGGTGAAAAACAGCAGACATGACACATTTAGCTCAAATGTAAAGAAAAGCTGAGAAATGTTTTTGGGCACAATAATGCCTCTTGTACATCGTCTCATCTGCTGGGAGACACCCACGTCATTTTCCGTCAAAAATTATTTGCTGGTTGAATAAAAGTAACTTCAAGTCATTTCAAATCTTCTAATTATGGGCAGCACTGGAGGTAGTCAATAAAGCTGAATCTGGCGTTCCAAATAATTTGGTTCATGGAAGTTTATTCATGATTTAACAGGTGGGTCCACTACTATTTTGACAATACCCATTTGGTTCGGATATCTTTCTTTCTCTTAATAAATAAAATCTAAAATCCGTTATTTTAATTTACTCGGGTTATCTTAAGTGGAAAAAAAAGTTGAAAGGGAGCAAATACATATCCACACGCCTGCAGCCTTAACTTAAAACACCTCCTTTCTTTCATGGGCTTGTATTACAAAACCAAGCATTATGCGGGTTTCACTTGGGGGAAATCTTAACCACATCCACCCTTTATTTTCCCACACGAATGAATATATTTATTTAAAATATATTTGTACCTTTACTATTAATTTGGAACAATAAGCGTTTCATGTTTTAGGCAAAGAAAATGCCAAAATAACAATATTCAATGTAACGGAATAATCTTTCACTTTTTTAGTTCTTAATGAAGAGGTTTTTTTTTTTCAGTGCACGATTAAATGAAATACGACAAGTGGGTTAACGGTCTTTCATCTGATCAGAGTTCTGTTTCTACTATTAGATGCTAGCTAATTTCACAAAACATTCAAGTCATTTCTAATCACTATAGTTAACGATGATTTTCCAGACACATTAGTTCCCTAAAGAATATTTCACTGCTGCCCTCACAGGCTTTGATATAGTGTTAAGCTGCTGTTGACCTAAAGTCAGTAGTTTTAGAAACCTCCAATGTTTTATTTCACTTTTGTGGTCGGCGTGAACCAATAATTTGGCCTCTTTACAACAGAGCTCAAAGATATTTTCCACAATCCCAGGAAGTGACTTCGAACACAGATGTTTAGAAAACCACTCACCCCATCAGTCAGGGTTAAATAACTTGTTTTCTGATAAAAAATTAATTATTGAACTACTTTCTCAGTGGGATTTATTGTGCCTGGAACTTCTTTTCCCCTTCAGATTTCTTTACGATGTTAGAAAGCACACCGTATTTTCGGTTTAAACAGTGAACAATGAGAAGACAGGAAAATAAAGGGATCGAGTGTCTGAAGGAGTCTAACATTTAGTGACCTAGTTCTGTAGAACAGATGAGTAAAGTACTGAGGGACAGAAGTAAAGTATAGATGGTGAGCGATGACACGATGGGGTGTAATGAAAAATACAAGATTTTGAGTTTAAAGTTATAGAGTGAACAAAGAAAAATGAGAAAAGGTGAGATTAAAAAAACAACTTCATACATAAATTATTCCTGTTTTAGAACAAGAAAGATGCTGATGGCGGGAACAGACTGACACGTGTAATCTAACAAAAAATTAAGGTGGAGCCTTTTTGCATCATTTCAAGCAACATCTTTGGGTCAATGACCACTTGGACTTGCCTTGAGGGGAGGATGTACACACTTGTACTTCTCTATTCAGCACGGCTGAAAATAAGACAGCGATGGCCTTCTAACAGAGCGACTGTACACTGCACAGGAGCCATAACACTGAAGGACTACAATGGCTACTCTCTGTGTCTCATCCATTGTGCTTGTTTCTCAATAGAGAGCTTTGTTCAGAGAGCTCTCTATTGAGCCAGTGGTTCATTAAAGCTACAGTTTATTGCCAGAAGGAATGAAAGAGTGAATAAAAAGCATTGAGAGATTTTTTTGAGGACCGTAACCAATGTCTTAATTTTTTTCCCCAGCCAAGATGTCCATTTACGATTCCAGCAAAAAGATACCCAAGATTCACCAAAAAGCAGCAACAGTAGTACAGACACAAGTCTGGATCACAGCACACAAGGAGGATTCTAGCAACTAGACTCAGTTAAAGCAGTAAAGACAAACTGATTTAGCAGCTAACAGTTTAAGCATTTATACCATCTAACTGAGCCCAGGGCTAGTTCTAAAGATAACATTTCAAACTGTTTAGAACACAAAAGCAAAGAAAATCCAGTCCAACAGAGGCCCAGGATCTACTAGGAGGGGGTGAGGCTAAAAGAGCTAACACAACAAACAGAATACGGAGTACTTTACAATACCTTGGCAGCGTTTGCGCTTGTGACATGTAGTTTTAGCGCTCGTCTGATATCCACTCCATTTGAACAGAAAAGGGAGGTAGAAAGGCGGCAGGTGGGAGAGAACTAACAACCAACAAAATGGTGAGTCATGTCCAATTTCAGTCAAGTCAAGACCTCCTGTCAATTATTTTAAAGCTGCCAATCCATCTAAAATCCCAGCAGTCGGGTCATTAGTTAAAACAAGACAGACAAACAGGTTTGTCTTTGTTACTGCAATAACATGCTGGCTGGAAGTAAAAAATTAGATCAGATAAATGGTAATCTACAGCCCACAACCCTGTTTTTTTTTTTAGTAATTATTATTCTGAAGCTTAAAAAAACTTGCTGATTAAAGACATTTAATTCTAAACTGCTTATAGCTGCTAAAAGGAAAGCATAACAGTTATCATCATACATGACTGGATATCAAATCTACTTCAACTTTACATTCCAATAAGTAAAAAAAAAAAAAAAAGCCAAACAAGTGGCTCTTCAAAAATTTGTGAGCCACCATTCATCAAACAAAAATCAATCAGACTAACATTGCAGCTAGTGCATTTAAATTAGATTATAAAACCAATTATCGATATTTGGAATTTCTGTTTTCTAATCAAATTCCCTACAAATTCAATAGCATGTTTTACAACTGATAAGCAATGAATCTGCACACATATTTTAGGTATCTGAGAAGACCAGCTCAGAATTTGTTAATAAAAACGTGGAAGTCTACAGATTTGAATAAAATGTTAAATGCAGGAAAACACAGCCATCAGACTTGCAAATGTCAGCCGTGTTTCCTCAGCGGGGCGAGGGCCTGCAGGGGAGGAGAGAAGTGCTGAGTGTACGCTGCTTATTGTAAGAGCTATCGATAAAGTCCATTTAGACAACACAGCACTGATGGATCCATTTAAAACAAGTGCATTGCAATGACTAATGAACCTAAGTTGCGTTTGTGAGGTATGTCTTACTGAAAGATTGTCAATGAGGTTTAGATTCAAACGTCTCTTTGAAGATCCATATAATCATATTTTACCATCAAATTTTCAGTAGATATAAATAATCTTACAAGCTGATAATGGAAAACAGTCTTAAAAATAAACATTGAATACATGAGCAAATGTCTATTTATTCTCTAGATCTCGTAAATGCACGTTTAATCCTCCCTCATTGTTAATGGGGTCACATGGGCCCCAGGTGCTTTTATATTTAATTTTAATTATTTTTAGGAGTGCACCACTTCACCCTTGCCCAGGGATAAACTATCAACCATGTTTAACATCCCCCTGTCCTGGAGGGCTCACCTGATAGGACAGTGGAAGGGTTAACTGTTGACTAAATGGAGAACATATTAAAATCAGCAGGAACAACATAGCAGCCTTTTTCTTCACATAGTTTGTGCGTCACAGATGAGACCACACCCCATAGTTACCAGCTAATACAATAGGACTATTTTGTACACACCCAGGTAAATGAAAACTCTTCAGATCTATGCATTTGCTTGCAACTTTCTATTCAACAATGCCAATAATATTTATAAAAAGCACACATTAAACATTTAAAGGACAAAGAAAGGCATTTTAGGAAATCTTTAGGAACCTGAGCTTCCTCTCAGCATAAGGGCCTCCACCTCTGTTGCTGTTTTTAATGCGAGGCGAAAAACCTACTTTTATGATCTGTCTTTTAACCTTTCTAACTAATTTTATTGTTTTACTTATAGCAATCTGTGTACTCACTGTGTTTTTTATCTGTATCTTGAGATACAATGTTTTTATTTTCTGGACTTAATGTTTTATGTTTTTTACTTGATCAGTGTAGCGCCTTGGTGGCATCTTTTTGCCTGTAAGGCGCGATTTACAAATAAAGTTGAGTTGAGCACCAAATCAGCATTACAATGCACAGTGACAGAAATTAATTCATTCATGCTTTCATCAGATGATTCTGTAAAATGACTAAAGCAGAAAGCCTCAATTACATACTGGTGATTTTGTCTAATGAAGATTTCTCTTCATCCAGTTGTTCATAATGCTTCAGATTCTGGCTTCTTGCATGTTTATCACTTTAAAAGCATCAGTGTAACTCTACTATTAGCATCAGCCTCATGTCACGGTATAATCAGGGTGAAGCATCGGGTCTTCCGTTTCACTGACCTTTGGCCTCAGGTCACTACTGCAGTACAAGGCCAGTACTTGGAAAGTGAGAGTAATGGAAGGTTGGTGAGACGGTGGGATAGCAGGCAATGAAAAGACTAATAAGATAATAGCACAGTGATCCATTTGGCTGTTCTAATGCGGTTTAGGATAGCTTCTGTAAGGCTCTGAGTGCTTCAAATTATTAGTTTAAAACGCAAAATACTTTTCTGTAACCGGCTTCTAGGAACATCAGCTCAGATTGTGAACTAGTCAGATTTATCATCACATTTGCTTTCAGGCTATGCTAAATATAGAAGTTAAAAACTGCACAAAAACATAGAAGGAGGGGTTGTTGTGCAGATCTTGGTTTTGCTGCTCCATAACAGAGGAACATAAAAATGGAGCAGGTATGGTTTTCAAATGAGGTATTCGTACCTTTCTCACATCACAGTGGGGGGTAGATTTTACAGTTTTTTTTTCTCTTGCAGCTCCCTTATTAGCTAGAATCATGTGATAGATGACAGCAAAGGGAAAGGGCTGTGAAATATCACAAAACCAATTACATTTCACACACCTTGCACAGAATTTACAATCCCTCAGTGGTTTTAGATGTCAGCAGTACTTTAGATAATTTAATACGCTTTTTCACACACCTCTAAGAATCTGACAAGTGATTATTTTTCTGCAGGACTCTGTGACCTAATGTAAAAAAAACAGGTTCAGATGCAGCCAGAAGTTGGAGCTACAAGAGTATAACACCAACAATGGTTCTACAGGACCAAAGTTTTCCTTCATTCTGGTGAAGACTTTATTTATAGGCTGTGCAGATCTTTCTGGAGTAACAGGACAGTTTCATTACTTTGTGTGTCAGCTTTTGTTCAGCGTGCTACACAGCTGCAAACAAATGCCCAGGGCTGCGAACTATAAACAAATGTATTTCAACAGAACGTTTATAGTCTTGATGTTTTTTGTTTTTATTGTTTAACTGCAATTTAAAAGTGATCATGCAGTAGTTACTCACATCTAAAGATATTTCCACTTTGTCTTCTATTTATCTACCAAATTCACCGACACACGCTTATCCATCACCGATAAGGTGCCCTGTGGATGTGGCTGCCTGACTGCTGAAACAAAGAACTTCTTTCTTTCTCATCCACAGCCAAGCGTGCTGCATTTTCCTTGAGCCAGCACATCAAAGAGGGCCCTGCCAGAAAGTGGTGCCGCTGCTTTACTCTGGCGGGATGATGGGACAAAACCTACACACCTGTCACGTTTTTTAAGACTCTGCAGTAACACTTTAACGGCACGACTCATTCAGCAGTCCTCATCACTCACAGGGCTTCTTTCTAATTAAGAATATGATGTTTAGACATTTTAAATAAAATTTATGTTTATGATATTAAATCTAACCCGGGCTTTCTGCTTGATGCGTAACATTATCCCTGTGACCTCAGCAGCATGTTCCTTCTTACCAGGAGGGTTTAAGATGTGCTTCATGCAGCAGGTCCCACAAGATCACAGGAAAATTATGAGATCACTCGCAATTTGGCCAGTTCACGTGACATCACACAAGGAGAAAGATGGCCGTATGCATCTAGGTCCTTTTTACTTTCTACACGGAGGTGCCACATGTAAAAACACATTTTTTAATTTAGTTAAGAGATAAGAAATCTGCATGCGTCTTCCTTCTAAATGAGCCGAATGCTTTACACTACTACTGTGTTTGATTCCTAATATGAACTGCTGAGCTTGACGTGTTGGAAGTGTAGAATAATTTTTTTTAAATGACTCGAAGCATACATTTTGTGGAGTGCCATGACAAAACTACAGATGCATCGCTCTGTTCCCGCAGGAAACAAACCCACTATTTTGGCAGCTATTAGCTGTGTATACACTTTGCAGATGATGCGTGACAATTATGCAACCAGGCAAACACCAGGATCAGGTCGCCTCTCATCTTTAAGCGGCCATTAAATATTTTAACAAGCATAATGATACTAATTTTGTATTAACCGTACCCAGTAAGAAACGCCCCGTTGCTTCAGTTGTAAACAAAGTGTCAGTCATGTTTTACGACCCAGGCATTATTAGTTTTGTTAATTTATTGAGAACTTTGTTAGAACACTAGATGTGTCAGTAGTGTTTGCTGCTTCTGCTACTGAGGTTATTTTCCCATTACATCTTAAACAAGAACCCCCCCCCCCTGCTCACCATCTTTGCTGTCAACGGTCTTGACCACTAAATCTGTCTCGAAGGTGTCCTGCATCTGTTGTCCTCGAAAATGGTTCAAGTGCTCCAGCTCTATTTGGTCACTCTCCTCTTCTTCTAACGGGAGCCAGGTACCATCGATGAACCACTGGCCCCTCATCACAGGAATATGGTCTTGTTCTGGAAGAGATGCAGCTCTGATGCAGTCAACGTTGGAAAAACAAGTGTTTACCTGCACAGGTGGAAATTTTTATTTTTTTTGTTTTTAAAAGATAATAGTTTTTTTAATGCTGCTTGGACAGAAATTAATCCAGCATTTATATTAGACTCATTGTACAAACAGAGCATCGTACTGTGGATGATGTAGAGTGAACTGGTTTTCATTTGACTAATTAGGTCTATCAAATCCATGAGGAACAAGTCTGTGTTTAACAGAGCGAGGCCGGGTTTTATTACAGTCAAAAGAAGCGTTGATAACACAACTCTGCCTTGATTCTCTGGAGATGAGCAAGAGGGTAATGGCAGATTTTAAATTAAACACGTTTAAAAGACATGGTCTCTCTGTAATGAATCAGGCAGGGTATTTAAAATTATACATCATACTTTACCAAAAGGTTCGACTTACTGATAAAGACTCGGAATGCAATTGGCTAATGCACTGAAGCAGTTTGCAGCTGGCCAGAGAAGATAAACTTGTTGTGAAAAAAGGCCATTTTATCACATTGTTGGTAAAATAACACTAATGATGTCAGAAATATACAAAAATTATTCTCTGGTTAATAAAATTGTAATAGTTTGTTCTTAGATCAGTGAAGAAACAAACGTTCATCTATCATGACACAAAGTCAACAACTCTCAAAAGCACACATGTAAGGTAGAAACAAGACATTACTGGGAATGCTGGCTCACACCAAGCAGAAAGAGGACGTCATTGATCTGAACCAAAACAAAAAGAAAAACACCAGCTGATCTAAATGTCAGTCTGCATTCACCTTTACAAGAACCAGCTATCACGAACCTTTTCATAGAGCTCATGTTTTTTTTATGATGGATCCCTTATTTTGTTCTCTGGCTTTTCCAGGAAGCTGCCATGAATTAGTAAATGTATATCAGCTGTGTTCAATAAATTAACATCCGATGTTGTAAGCCAACAGAACAGGCAATTAAACTGCAAGACATCCCACCAGAATACTATTGCATCGATGGATAGACATTTGTATGCTGTCAGTACACATATAAGGGCTATAAAAACAACGAGAGGTTCTGAAGGCATGGGTTATGATGCTGAGGGAAAATAACTTACGCTTCCAGTAGACAGGACAGCATTTCCTCTCCTTCAAATCAACCTCATAGAGTCCTCCTCGTACACATACAGGCTCCAAGTTGATTTCAATGCCATCAGAGTCCCTCTCATCAAAGGACACGCTGGACGTGTCCATAAATCCGCGGCCTTCGCCGGTCCCAGAGTCTCCGGGCACCGAGCCGTTCAGCCCGGGGCTCTCCTCCTCTCCGCAGCTAACCCGGGTGCGTACTGCACCAGGGTTTAGCTCGCAGTATTTCCGAAACATCAACTCAATTTTGAGCGAATCGTGTCCGAGAAAAGGCTTCCATGTTTTCTTGTCCTCTTTGTAAAACCACCGAACCTCCTCCGGAACTAGCTCCGTGACAACCTCGTTGAATCTGTGCCTCGAGCTGTTGGACCGAGACCTCTTTCTCTTTTCGTAAAACGGACTAGCGTTGTTCCCATCACTGTCTCGGTACTCCAGTGGGCTGCTGTCCAGGTAGGCTTCCGGGGAGTCCAGGTCCAGCACTAGCCCGTCCTGTGAGCCGTGGTGTCGGGCGTGTAAAAGCGGCAGGTGTCCGTCCAGTCCCGGCTGGACGGAGGACATCCCTGCCTCCATCGATTCATTCACGAGACTCATCTCGTGATAACAAAAATACACATCGCCTGCCAGAGCCCACCCTACTTCCTGTTGTTGCCAGTGTGTCAACGCGGACCAGCGGAGCCAAAACTATTACTATCGGTAAAAAAAGATAGGTGTGGATGTTTTAGTCATTATGACAGCAGCAGCATCGCCACAACTACCTCTTTTGCTGTCACTTTAGTTTCAGGAAGCTATAACTGCTCTGTAACAATTCATTTGGTCCATATATCAGTTAGTAGCACAATACATACGTTTTAAAAACGGATAAGCGAAAGACCTCCTCACGAGCTCCCACCGCATTACTGCGTTTACGTACCGCCGCTGTTGGCTCGCTCGCTCGTTAGCTTGCTAAGCTAACGAAGCCGGCTGGACGCCAGATTAACGTCAAACACGGACACTACTTCTCATTTTATGTGGCAAAAAACAGTCAAATTCAGTCCAGTCTTGTGTTACCGAGTCGCTTCAGTCCGGCTGGATGGGACTCACGTTTCTGTAGTTTGCTAATGGCCCCTACTGAATCTCAGACTCATTCGTTGACAAACAAATCTCGCATAGAGACAGAGTAGTGTACGTATGTATGTTCGGCGTAACAGTTTACGCACAAATCAGAATAACTATATGGCAAGCCCATTTATCATATAAAAAACGAAAGTCTTTTCTTTACATAAAAATGACAAATTCCATTTTTTATTTAAGGAACAGACCTTTACCATGACTAATTCCGCAAATAAAATTCCTTCCATGTATATGTATCAATCCATCTATCCATCTATCTAAAGCAGAAAATATAATTTCTATGGTGCCTCTCAAGATAAGTCTATCATCCATCCATCTATCTATCTATCTATCTATCTATCTATCTATCTATCTATCTATCTATCTATCTATCTATCTATCTATCTATCTCTCTCTCTCTCTCTCTCTCTCTCTCTCTCTCTCTCTCTCTCTTAACACTGTGGGAAACTGAAAATTAATAGTTATTAGATGATCAGTAATGTTTTCAAGGAGGGATGCTACACTCAAAACAAGTCATGAAATGTTGAAGGTTGCTTCTTATATTTTATAATGGCTTGCCAAATTAAGAAGCCCTGACGTTTTATTTTTTGACACTAGATGGCGACAAAAAGCTATACTTGCATTTCTATTCCTTCACCGTAATTAAGCATTCCAGGTGAGTAGGTCATGAAGACAAAACTATCTTCGGTAACCATGTTCTGTGTGACAGATTGGATCCCTAACTCTTATTTTATTGATCGAAATGTTATTTTCATGCATTTCCTGAACAAAAAATGTACTTAAACGTGAATTACTTCACAATGTTCATTTCTGATTCCTGACCTTGATCTTTTGCAAAGTGCAACGAGTTACTCTCCCACAAGAGGGCAGCAAGTGCCAGTTTTAAACAAGTGAGAACTACAGCTGGCTTGTTGCTTTAGGAAGAGAGAGTATATGTACAGTCTATGGAAGAGAGGCTAAAACCAAACTTCCTTTAAACCACTTCTTTTGACACAAAACGTCATAACATTTAAAACAGACAACTTCCCTACTGAATGAAAACCAGACTTATGTAACTGATATGTTTAAAAAATGGAGAAAAATTGATTCAGCAAAGCAAAGTAAATTTCAGCAAGCATCATTTTATTTTGATGTTTTAATTTTCAGATCTTATTACAGAAAGAACAGAAGAAACAACATCTATTTATACTTGTAATGGTGCAAACCGGCCTGTTTACATCTTTGCTTATAAGGGGCCTGCAGCCCAGTATAAGTTTGTGTTTGCGTCTCTAAATCTGTGCACATGTGCCTATTTATGCAAGTGCGTGTATTTGCCCAAAACACATTTAGTGTAGCAGTCTTTGTGTATACACTGCAGGTCCAGGTGATTCTGGAGCCGTGGTGGGGTCGGGGGAGAGAGACAGAGAGGAATAGCAGAGAGGCCCAGGCAGCTGTATTTGGAATAAACAGACATTACCCTGCTGTGCTCTAATTTACTGCAGAGTGGGAATTAAACTTTAAGCCCGTCCCACCCCTCTGCAGTCCAACGCTTCTATGCTTCTGGCCATCAACAACTACTTGCACAATGTGCGTTATTAAAGTGCTACTCCACCCAAACTCTGTCTTTTTAGTATCAAATTCACACCCCCTGTAGGCTTTGCAATGGGGGTTGTAAAAAAAAAGGCCATTTTTCTCAAAGACGCAGTTTCTACCGGAGCTTTGGATTTTCAGAGGGAATCACGCAGAAAGAGCACTCAAAGCTGCATTTAAAGATGGCAAAAATCTAATATTGTTTACCCAGAAAGTCTTTCATCACAAACAAATGTGTTCTACAAGGTCAAAAGTTATTACTGTCAACAAGGAAACCACACAGAAGCACGTTTTCTGCCAATTGAGAGGAGTTTTAATTCACAGCCTCTTTGTTATTTGGAACCAACGAGCTGACACAAGTTTACTGCTGCATTTTTAGTTGTTACAACAGCGACATCATTACTGTGTTAAATGTGGAGTTGATTGTGCTTTCCTTATCACACATTTACACCACAGGACAACATGTGGTTTTTATGTAAGAATTCCCTTTTTCCTGGCACTCTCTTCGCTCCCTGTGCTCTGATGTTTTGCAACCGCCGGGCCCGCCACCTGGACGAGTGGATGACAAACGAACTGCACATTTTTCCTTCCAGTAACTGACCAAGTAGATATTTTTAACCAGCTGGTCACCTCCCCACCCACTGGGCCTCCCCCACGTCTCCCAAACCACGGCTGCGAGAGAGCTTCCCCTTTTAAGACCAGTTCTGTGTCACTTCTTGCTTTGTTCTTAAACAAAGAGAGCTGTCCCTTCATCTACCGTAATTGGGCTGGCTCTTGGAATGTGCTTGATGTCTCCATGCAGGAACATGGTGGATGAATTGAGAGGAAACCCACCCGCCCTTCCACTTCTTCTGCTGTTTATCTTTTTCCACTTCTTTGCTTTTTTTTTTCTTACCTCTGATTCACCCTCCCTTAGCAAGATGACCACCCCAGTAAATGGAACCTTCTCCACATTTCCCCCTCGGAGTCTGTTTGGTCTCCGTGAGCAGCACCACCTCCCTCACCAAGGTGGGGTGCTGCACGGATGCTCTACAAGGCCAATCTGTGGCACTTGTCACGAGCAGTTACCGGGGTGATATTGACCATGCACAGGTGATTGGGAGCGGGTTGGACGGTGTTTACGGCATTTTTACCAACGGGAAGCAATTTCGAAAGCTCAAATTCCACTAGCAAGGAAGGAAAATGTTTGAAACAGAAGTTGGCAGGCCACCAAAAGCCTGATCCCCTAATTGTTGTCATTAATAGCGACTAATCTCAAAGTACTTACTCTGTAGTCTGGGTAACATTATGGTGTGCTGTTCATGACATCTGGGAAGACTCTGAGGATTAGTTTAGACTTTGTCTCGAGCAATCACGTGCACCTCAGGTGAACAGTTTGAAGGCTTTTCTGGTTCGATGTCTTCTTAGCATTGTGCACCTTTTGGTGTTTAAGCAACCTTGTCTCCAGAATCCACCCCTTTGGTTTTGGTCATGACTCATTTACTCCTGAATCCTTCACCTTTCACCCCCAGCTCCACTCTCCATGTCACTCGCCGGCTAGCCTGGATAAGTAAATACATGATGCAATGTGTGGTTTTTGCATCCAACTCCCACCCTCCTCCGTGCACACGAGGTGATTTCAACTGGAGACCAGGAGTTTCAGGGTGGGGTAGTCAACAGGGTCCTGAAGAGGAGGAGCCTGAACTAGACAAGGAACCAAGTCGGGCTGAGTTTGAGCAAACAGGAGGGATGTGGGTCACCTCTCTTCAAGCAGAGAGAATAGTTGACGAGTCTGGATTGAAACTCCACCATCCCTGCTGTGGCTCCACCTCTTCCAGCTGGGATCCGGGTTTCAGGTGGGAGACTCCACCCCATGGCGGTCGCTCCTTTGCCCTGCTTACGATCTCCAGGGCTAACGGACACAGTCGTTCAGAGTCTGGGGTTTTAAATGCTACTGCTGTTAGTATGCAAAAACATATGTATGCTTGCCAAGAAAATTAATTCTTAATAATGATGATGATAATAATAATAATAATAATAATAATAATAATAATAATAATAATAATAATAATAATAATAATAATAATAAAGATAATAATAATAATAATAATAATAAAGTTAATAACAACAACAACAATAATAAAAATAATAACTACAATAATAATAATAATTATAATAATAATAATAATAATAATAATAATACTCTTGTTTGGATAATGTCTTTACTTTGAAAAAAAAAAGACAAAAACAAGCAATGATAAAAACCACTGTAATAAAGAACATAACATAATAAGAGAGATTGGTTTCAGTGTGTCTTTAAATCCAGTACGACCAATGGTTTCAGCTCTAAACATTCTTGCTTTATAATCTATCTAATAACATTCCACCAGTTTAGCTTTAGCCTTGGGTAGAAAATTGCAACTCAGAAAGTCAATGGTGTCAAAGTTGACATATGTTTACGAAAAAACAGACAAAAATGCAGTTTATCAGCAATCTAAAACAGAGCTTTGAATCTCTGAGGAGCATAAGAAATTTTCTTTTGGCTTTCATCTGTCCCAGGAGCCCTGATACAGGCCATTCTAAAGGTTGGTTTATGCTTGACGCGTCCGCGAGGTCGGCACGGCTCCGCGCGGCGAAGTTGCGTCATTTTAACACGGCCCAAAATTTCCGCACAGCACACCTAGGAAGTTTGCTAACCACGCGGACGGTCGGACGCAGAAAAACATGGCGGACTGGCAAGAACTAGTATGGCAGAGGTTCATAAATACAGGCATTTGTACGATTCAGCTCTCAAAGATCACCGTGATCAACATGTTGTTAATAATTCTTGGTGAGAAATAACTCGCACTGTCGGAAAAGACGAGGACGCTATTAAAAATGCTGGAATGCCATGTTGTAAACAACAGTAATTTTTACTTCTACTATGGTGTAGTGCTGGATGCATGCTGTAGAGCTCCATGCTCCCCCGTTCAGTTTGGGAGAATATTGGCTCACCGCAGAGACAAGCCGCATGAACCATAAACGCTGCGAGTTGTGAAGCGCGTTCCATCCGCGAGCCGCATCACCAAGCGGAAAGTGAATGCGTCAAGCATAAACCAAGCTTAATGCCTGCAGCACACGAGAGCAAAGTGCTAGCGGATACCTCGCTGTGTGTGCCTGATTTTCACAGCTGAGGCGAACATCTGACTGGTTTGATATTTTCCGCCTCACGGGGGGTAAAAACTCGCCGTGTGTGCACTACGTGAGCTGCTGGCTGAGCTGAAACATTCTAGTGGCCAATCAAAGCTCGTTCTCCACTCACATGACCCCAAGATGGCAGCCCCCATGTCTGCATGTCAGAAAATAAACAAAACTGACAAAGCTGGAAACGGAGGAAATGCATCTACTTTTTCTGTTGATGAAGCGTCGCCGCCACCATCATTTCAAAGTTAGGGCAGTATGGGTACGGTGGCTGGAAAGAAGGGCCAGGCAAGGAGTTTATACCAATCTACTCCAAGAGATGCGCCATGGAAACCCAGAATACC